GAAGTTAACAGAGGGGGAGTTAAATTTGTTTGAGTTTTTAGAGAGGGCTGTAAAATAGAGAGGGCTGCATGAAATTGACACAACTACGAGAGGCAGTGGAAGATAGGAGGGCCTGGCGTGCTCTGGTCCATGGGGTCACGAAGAGTCAGGCACGACTAAACGACTAGACGATGACATAAAAGAGAAATACTTGTATCAGAGAGAGCAATGTCTGGTGTGGGAAAGTTGGCACATATTATTAATGTAAGGTAAAGGTAAAGATTCCCCTTGACATTTTTAGTCCAGTCGTGTCTGATTCTAGGGGGCGGTGCTCATCCCATTTTCAAGCCGTAGAGCCAGCACTTGCCCGAAGACAGTTTCTGTTGTCACGTGACCAGCGTGACTAGGGAGCGCCATTTTACCTTCCCACCAAAGTGGTACCTATTTATCTACAGTGGGGTCTCGACTTACGAACGACCCTACTTGCAAACAATTCAACTTACGAACCCACCCTATAGGGGAAATAAGGACTCGACATACGAACTTCCCTCCAGTTATGAACAGGAAAAAAAGCGCCCCCTCCCTCCCCTTAGAGGCTTCTGGAGGGGAAAAAGGGTCAGAAACTTAAAAATAAATAAAAGAAAGTCACTTACCAGGCCTTGGTAGCCCCCAAACAGCAGGAAAAAGAGCAGGAAACAGCTAAAAGCCCACACCAGAAGGGAGCCTGGCAGCCATTTTGTGCTTTTGCCCCGCTCCAGCACCCTCTTCTCCCCACCTATCAGCTGATCAGCTGCCTCTGAAAAGGCTTGGGTAGGCTTGCTCAGCACCTAAAAAGCCTGCCTGTGTGTCTTTGTGCTGAAAAAATCAGCACAACATGCTCTAAAACAGGATTTAAAATTGGCTTTGTTGAAAAAAAAAGATTTCTAAAGTGCTTTGCAAACTGTTCCCTGCCTTGTTTCCTGAACCTAAGGGGAAAAAAAAAATATATCCCCCTCTAGTGGCAGAAGGCAGAATAGCAGCTTCCCATTAGTTTCTATAGACGGAAAAGAGCAGATACAGATTAAATGGTTTTCAGTGCATTCCTATGGGAAATGCAGATTCGACCTACGAACTTTTCGACCTAAGAACCACCTTCCAATATGGATTAAGTTTGTAAGTCGAGACCCCACTGTACTTGCATTTGCATGCTTTTGAACTGCTAGGTTGGCGAGGAGCTGGAACAAAGCGACGGGAGCTCACTTCATCACGTGGATTCGATCTTATGACTGCTGGTCTTCTGACCCTGCAGCACAGAGGCTTCTGCAGTTTAGCCCGCAGTGCCACCATGTCCCCCCATGATTAATGTAACCTCAAGCTAAATTCTGTGCAATTTAACAAGTAATTTTTCAATAAATATCTTTATTTTTATGTTTCAAATTTAAAACCGCTTTGGCTCTTATGATTTGGGCTTAATGCAAGCCTGGTGAAAGTAAAAGGCATTTTAAAGGTGATTAGCCAGGTTAGGGCTGGTCACCCTTTTTAAGGGAGTCCAAGAGAGGTTATTGTACTCTGCTGGTTCTCCTTGATCTCAGCAGCTTTGGTATCATCAACCATGGTATCCTTCTGGATAGGCTCTTGGAGATTGGGATTGTGGGCCTAGCATTAAGTTGGTCCCGGTCCTTTCTTGAGGACCATGTCCAGAGAGTTCAGCTTCAAGTTGAATTGTTGGTCCCTTGGACCCTCAATTGTGAGGTACCCCAGGGTTGTCAGTATCCTCGGTGCTGCTTAACATCTGTGTTAAGCCACTGGGGGAGGTTATATAGAGATTTGGAGTAAAGTGTCATCAGTATGCTTGAGCATTGCCTGACTTCATTACTGGAATGGGCCAGGGCAAACAGGCTCAAACTGAATCCAAACAAGACAGAGATTTTGTTTATGCAGGGCCCCTCCAAATGTTTGGGGAAGGATATCCCTATGCTGGATGGAGTTGCACTCCTTTTTAGGGATCAAGTTCTTAAGTTGGGTATTCTTCTGGACCCTACTCTTTCTGGGGATTCCCAGATCACAGCTGTGACCAGATTGGTTTTTAATCCTCTTAGGTTTGACACCCATCTCCACCCCTACCTAGACAAGGGATCCCACAGAACATTGGTGCAAAAACTGGTTATCTCCCAGATAGACTACTGCAATCCTCTCCACATAGGGCTGCCTTTGTAGTTGACAAGAGATTACAGTGGCTGGTGTGAGGAAGTTTGATTACATCACCCCAGTTCTGGACAGTCTCCACTGGTTACCTGTTGTTCTCAGCTTCAAGTTTTTGACACTAGAGTATAATCCTTTCATGGTTTGGGACCACATTACCTGTCAGACTATCTTTTCCCAATGTCATTGGCCCAACCTACCAGATCTTCCATGTAGCCACTCTGAGAGAAGCCTGAAAGTCATCTATTAGAGGTAGAGCCTTCTCTGTGGTGGCACCAAGGTTATGGAATCAACTCCCAGAGGATTTATTTATTTATTTATTTATTTATTTATTTATTTATTTATTTATTTATTTATTTATTTATTTATTTATTTGATTTTTATCCTGCCTCTCTAGACCATGCCTACATGGGGCGGCTTACAAAATAAAACAGAACAGTATAAAAAATATATAAAATCATAAAAATTACAGATACAATCTCAATCAGAAA